GGTGCCTTCCGTACAGCAAGTAGAAAGGTGAAAAACCAGTCATGCTCTGAGGGGCGGTGTTGTAGGTGTAGGTGACGAAGGGCAATATATTATCCCAATTAGTTTGGTTGGCAGCGATGTACATAGAAAGCATGTCGCCGAGGGTGTGGTTAAAGCGTTCGGTGAGGCCATTCGTCTGTGGGTGGCAAGCAGTAGTTTTGCGGTGGACAGAATGGCACTCCGTCAGAAGAGCTTCGACGACTTCCAACAAGAATACACGGCCTCGATCACTGAGAAGATCTTGGGGTGGTCCGCAGGCATTACCTCCGCTATTTTCTGTTCAATCGCTCGACGGATGAGAGGGAAAAGGATAGTAGGCGATTGTTGAACAGTCGGTTGGTGGGCAAAGGGCAGGAGCGAGAACTGACGCGCGATTTCTTCACGGATGAAGGACTTTAGGTCTGCCATCAACGCCACTTGGTCACAACTGGCCTCCAAGCCAGCAAGCGTTGCAGCTCGTGGTGGGGAGCGTCGGGTCATCGAACGCTGCTGGCGGAGCTCCTCGTAACTCTGGCACAGTGTGATGACCTCAGCCACTGTGCCGGGGTTTTTGGCGAGCAGCATCGTGAAGGCATCATCATCAATGCCTTTCATGATGTTTCGGATCTTGTCAGACTCAGACATGGTGGGATTAGATTTGTTGCATTGGTCCAGGACGTCTTCAATATAGCTGGTGAATGACTCACCAGCCTCCTGAGCACGTTCACGTTAGCGCTTCTCGGCTTGTAGCTTGCGAACAGCAGGGCGACCGAAGACGTTGATGATTGCGGTCTTAAAACGGCAAAATCGGACACGTGGTTGTTGTACCACAAACTGGCAACACCCGTAAGGTAGAGTATCAAGTTGGTCAGCTTGCCGTCTTCGTCCCATTTGTTGGGGACGCTCACGCGCTCGTAAATGGCGAGCCAGTCCTCCACGTCAGTGCCATCAGCGCCAGTGAAGATGGGTGGATCGCGGATTCTGGGGACACCGGGACAAGGGGGTGGCATTGGAGGAGGCGTTTGCTGAGAAGCGTCGTGGTACATAGTAGATGGCAGGGTACGTGATCGTAGCTCCAAAGGCATAGACGGGGATCGCAGCACTCTCCACCAAATTGTTAAGGCGTTTATTAGCCGGCAACGAGCGAGAATATACAATGGCGACAGTCACAGCCAAGCACGGGCTCTCAGCGCGAGCGGCGTCCTTGTTGGGTAGCCCCACTAGGAGGTACTCAAGAGTTTGACCCATTTCAGAGTTCGGAGGCTTCGCTATACACAGCAAACATAACTTGGAAGATATTTTAGGGTCTAAGCGTCTTAAGGCCGAGGCTTGTCCATTGGCTGGCGTGCACCTTAGCCACGATGACGATGATGCGGATGACGATTAAGATAATGATGATCACAGAGAACGACTGGCTTGGGCGATTTGTGACGTCTCGATATGCTCTACGATGCATTTCGTCTTAATGAAAACAACCACCAGAGGAACGTGCACTGACTTCGTCTTCAGAAACTTCAGGCTAGATGAGATACCACAAAGCAGTACTAATGAAGGCAATACGAAATTCACAACTCAACACTACATACCATTTATGACAAATAAACATTGTGTATACCTGTACACCACTTTGTCACTCATTTACATGCGTGAGTGGTCAATGTAATGGGTGCTTTGCAATAATACCGAATGATTCACTGCTCCGCCCACTCATCATCATTAACTTCGTGCATATGACGTAATCTTTAGTGACTTTTTTTAAAGTTTGCGTGCACGGTCGAGCACTTCCCCTTCACTTCCTCCTTACTTCTCTCAGGGCACCACGCGGCAGCACTCTGCACTGCAGGGGTGTGCTCTCTTTGCGTGATCACACGATAATTGCAGTATGTTGTTAAAGATTATCTGCTATTTGTGTTTATCTCTAAATCTGTATTAATAAGAATTGTTGAGGTTATCATCAAAATGTTAAGGCATGAATTCTTGGCCGAAATGCCATCGTGGGCATGTGCCATACTTCTAAAGAAACAGGGCGACCCGCTCGAGCTGTTCCTCGAGCTCGAACAATAGTGAACGTGCCAGAAGAAGAAGATTCTCGATCGCGTATGGTCGCGCATTTTGCGAGCTCTCTTGTTCCTGCGTCCGTGGTACGCTTGGCAGTCATGCACTACCTGCCAAACCTGAGGAAGATCCTCACCACAAAGAAGAAGGAAAAGCCGGCGGTGAGTACGGAGCCCTGCTCTCCGCTCCCGTATTAATCCCTTGAGCGACATGATGTAATCCCGAAGCCCTGACCAAGTTTCCCTTGCTATAGGAGCACTTTTGTCGCACTTTTGATTTTGAATATCAATATGTTAGCCCACCACTCAAGGCAGGCGCTCTGTCCATGGCATTGTAGTCTTGAGCACGCAGTGATGCCTCCAGTTGATGGTGGAAGCGTTCTACCATGCCGTTCGAACGGGTGTAGTAAGCTGTAGTTCGTATGTGTGGTACGCCTAGAAGGTGGGAGAGAGCCCGAAAGACGGACCATTCGAATTGTCTTCCATTATAATGAATGACTAGCCATAATCTAGGTATGCACGAGAGAGTGCGCTACAATGGCAAAACACTAAGGCGATACTTGATCGTCGTATTCACTTCCACCGACGCAGCGGGTCAAGCTGCATCAACCCCTGGATTTCCACTCACACACGGGCAGGTCATCTAGCACTGCGGTCGCCCCCGAGCCACCGAACCCTCACGCGCACCCCGGCAACCAGCTCAGACCCCAGCCACCCCAGCTGATACGCCAACGCACAAGTGCCGGGGTTGCCACGGACCAGGGTCAGCGCGGTTGGGTGCAAGGCATCCCCTGGCGTCGTACGATGTGCGTGGCGCTCGCTGCGGCTCTGATTCTCGGCACCTGTGCGCTCTCGCTTTTCCTGGCCTGGCACGGAGAGGTCATGAAGCCAGTCTGCGATGAGACCTGCATGGAATACACAATGGTACGCAGTCTGTCGGTCCACTTGAGGGCATATTTGGGCCGGTGTCACTTCATCAGGGTGCATAAAGGTGTTACAGAAGGGGGTGTCTCATGCAAAAACAGAAAAGAAGTCAGTCTTGGCCCATGACCCAAGCAATGAGTGCAATAGCAACACATCGTGCTGTTATACGAAGTAAGTCTTGAAGATTTAGGAAGTACCATCAGCATCAAAATCATGAGTCAAGAGCCAGGCAACCGAAGAGACGTGGTCCAGCCCGTGCTTGGCATCCTGGAACGCCAGTGGCCTAAAGCGGTGCCCCCACGGGTTTGACGCGAGTAGGTTGCTGCTTCGGGACGTCCGAGCACGCTAGAGTCTTGCATTATTTTTCCTACCTCTCCCCCCTTTATGCCAGATCGTCAATAAAGTTATTTCATTCACTCATTCAAGAACCATACGAAATGTAGCGAACGTGGTCGATTGTTCCCGAGTGGACAGTAATGCAGTAACGACAGTAATGAACACGCGTTGTGAATAGTTGACTGTATCACGTCTGACAGGAGGCGAAGTCCAAGTTTGGTCGCAAGAAACGTGACAAGCCACTGGTTTTCACGTCAAAGTTCACTAACGTTGAAGTCTCCAGTGACTGTCACCGGCGCATCCTGTAGGTACGCCGCATGGAAGTTGTGCAGCAAGAAGTTCATGACGTTAGTCCGCAAGGTTCCCGGTGAGGTGCGACGACTGTTGCTACGACGAAGCCGTGTGATGTTTTAACGTCGCAACAGTCACCACAACTCATATGGGGCAGTGGGTCGTGTTTGTCCATCTAATGTGCGTATATCGATGGGAACTGAATTCACAGGCACGACGGGACCAGCCACTTCCTGAATGGGCCTGGACTGGACGCGAGTAATTTTTCCTGCTGCTTTAAAGTGAAAGTGGAGCCAGGCGCATTTCGGAATGCCCCTGTCATCCAACAGTATGTGCTTCAGTGACTCCACCCCTCCATTGATCGAGCCATCGGACACGTCAGTGTCTAGCGGAAGCATATATGGCTTGTCCAAACAAAGTACACGCTTTGTTTAAGAATGTTTCTTAAGTTCACGGACAGTAAGGCAGTGGCCAATGTTGTACATGCATAGCTCGCAGTTAGTGATATGGAGGGTGGGCGGCCGAGCCGCTAAATCTGTGGAGCCCCCTGCTCACCGAAAACTTCATTTGCCATGGCATACAGGGCACAATATTACTCTGGACCACATCTGCCTGCCCGGCACCCACTTTCGGTCAAAGAGGTCCTCCTTCCTTTGCCTAAAAAGTTCTGCCTACGCCCGGGCCCACGTGACCCTCGTTTTTGGTGTTGCGCCCAATTTTTTTCTTACCCGTCACTGTGGTCAAATAATTAGGGCGTTCTGCTGTTGAATCGGACGTTGCAGGATCGAATCCCGGCTGCGGGAGCCTCGTTTCGATAGAATAAGCTCTAAAGGACAGGGTACTTAGGTATAGCTGCACGTTAAACAGCGCCAACTGGTCACAATCTCGCGAGCTCTCCACTACGTCATCCCTGTTTATCATATCGTGCTTTGGGGGCGCGAATACCAACAATTATTCATAGTTTGTTGGGGACCAAGTTTAGTGCAATTTTCGCAACCCAAATAGCAACGCTTTCCATTTGTAACCGCTGGAAGTTGATCGCTGATGTTTGCATTATTGAGAGCTATCAAAGATGTTTGAGCAGACGTGTCTCCTTTTTCGGTAATTATTTGAGCTTATAATTGTCTCGTTCAAAACCAATGTATTTCACAGTGTCCTTCTCGTGTTTGTCATCAGGTGCCCTTCAGTACACGCATAGTTGACCACGTGTGCCTGCATATTGTTACGGGGTCGTGACGTTGACAAAGGCAGTAGTGACGAAACGCTTTATTTCGCTGTACTTGGGGCCCGTAAACGGAAGGGTAAACTACAGCAAGCAATCCACGTTGTGCACTGATAACGGCAATCAAAGCATCAGCCGTCGATCAAACTTATCATCGTTGAGACGCCCCTTCTTTTTTACATGGCGCATTAGACTTTTCAGCCTTATTGCTGGTGGTCGCGAAAGCGCTGGAATAGGCTGGATTGTTCGCGTCCTGCGCTCAACAAACTGCATGGTCTACTACAATCGCGAAGCATTTGGAACTTGGTCTGCGCCGAGCATTCCTTACATTGTTGTGGGTGTGTGCGAAATTGAAACAACAAACGCTCGTGCACTGCGGCGACATCGATGAGTCGTGTCAAAAACATTCCACCCGTACGCATCGCTTAGGACTGACATTCTGTTCGCGTGCAGCTGCTTGGCGAATCCATGGACTGGTCGGCGAGTCCGTGTCAAGACTTTTACCGCTTCGTGTGCGGCGGGGCAGCGAGCAACCGGACGTCGGTGCGCAATCGTATCAACGAGCGCTTTCTCGCTACCGTCATCGAAACCGCCAGGTATGGGTCCTTCTACAGCCAGGCTGTCTACCCCGTGGTGTCGCTGTATCATGGTGGCGCGCACATGAAGGCTCCCCATAGTTTGGCACGTGCTCGCGTGGTTCGCGAACTTTTACGGTTTACCGTTCACACTTTTTTTTGCAGGAACGAGGAGATCCCGGCCGAAAGCCAGACTGTAGCGCAGAAGGCGGCGCGTCTCTTCAAGACCTGCGACGACGTCTTGACCCAAGACACGGACTACGTGCCTCGCATCCGCGGCCACCTGCGAGAGGTCAACCTGCACTGGCCGCAACACCCGGCCAATCGCGACGCCGCCTCGGTGGACGTCGTGAGCACCATGCTTGAGCTGAACGACAAGTGGGGCTGGCCGTGCTTCTTTGAGTTCGAAGCCGAGAAAGTCGGCGATTATTCGTTTGAGGTACGTGGAGGCCGTTGCCAACGAGAAAGAGTGAGACGGAACAACTTTATAATAAAACGCGCCACATGGCCGCAGCGAAAGCTGGAAAAGCAGCATTTCCACAGGCTATTTGACATGGGTGCCTCCATCTTGGGCTGTGAAGTCGATGTTTGCTTGTTTAGTGTATCGCGGTGTGACTAAATGAGGCCATGAAACACCGTATGCACCGACCAAGTTGCTTCCATGTGTACGCGTCTACCGTAACACTGTTCAAATATTTCTTTAAGACGCGAAACACAAAGGCCATCAGCCCAGCATGGCGGCACTTGAACACCTCCGTAGAATAGTCTATAGAGCTCGTCGTAGACTTTCACGGGGCAACTAATATATAATTTTTGTGCTGTGCCTGGTGACGATGAGTTATGGCTGTGCCCTTCGTAATGAGCTGAAAGCATTCAACGACGCACTCATTGAGCAGTTCCCGTTGTGTGACACCTGTTTGTATTTTAATCTTTTACCACAATAAATTACACGTGTTAGCGCGATTCATTGCCCGATATGACACCTGTGTAGGATATTTTTGTGAAAGATATTCAAACACTGACGTAGCATTGTGGTATAATAGTCGAATGCCACAAATAGGGCTACGGTGCAACTTCCATGCGATCGTAAAAGTTCTATGGGAAAAACTTCGGCATCAAGACCGGTTGCTGTTGTGATCCCGCAGCAGCTTTCTGTGTGAAATACACTGACCCCAGACCGCACCCTCCAAAAGAAGCAAGGCCTAGTCATCACACATGCTCAGAAGCTTTCAAACGGTTCGAGTAGTGCCTTCATGATGCATGGCAAATGAGTCCGTCAGCGGCTCCTCCAGGGTCGCAGGTCGATTGGTAGGTATGTGCCATATGTAACAGTAGACCCCACACATGTTTTATGCCGGTGAGTCTTACCGAAACAGAATGTCAACTCTTCGTGGGTTAAAAACACTGCGGATATGAATGTGAGGATGACGACAGGATGGATCGTTGTCCTGTGTACTGTGTACCCCAACACTAAAAATCGTCGACCTCCATGCAATGTTACATTGGCTACGATGCTCGGCTTCTGACCATAAAGACATGGGTTACATCCCAATCACGAAGATCGTATATAGATAAAGATTGAATGCTATAGAGACCCATAGAATGTGTGTTGTCAGTGCAGGCGGATATCAGGTGGTTCAAAAGAATTGAGCCCTCTACTGCAGCATGCATCGTGAGCGTATTCTTGTTCCCCGCTCGTTAAAACCATGACGTTTCAATTATAATTAGGAGTTGATGATCAATTTCTTTAATTGGGACAGTTCAATAGTGGTACAACACTTCTGTAGTGCCCTTCCCACTCACGCGCGTGTATTAAGGTGTGCGTGTATGTGTGCGTGCGTGTTTGTGTGTTTCTGTGCGTGTTTCAGACTGCGCTCAGAAAAACCAAGGTTGTGTTAAGAGAATGAAATGTTCGGAGCTGTAGCAGGCAATAAAAAACTTTAGGTAACACTCTTCTTCTCTCGTTGTTTGGTAAACAACAATCCGTTGAAAGTCAACGTGATCCATAACCGACCAACTTGAAAGAACGTGAAAGTCTATACGTTGGTGCACCATCTTAAACAATTAAGGCACCATGGTGGGACCCTTGCACAGCACCGACTTCTGACGAATTATTTATTTCGCAAAGTAGCACCAGTAAACAGTAGCCGTGGTGGAGCTGCCACTCTTTTTGCCACCTCCATGAATTTCACCAATCTGCCGGGCTACTCGGCCTTTCCTAAGTAACCTGACAGCGGCCTTTGCGTCGTAAGTTCATAGACAACTTGGTTGGCCGCCTCGGGATGCGTCGTCCGAATTGAGGCAGAGTTGATCACTTTGGCCTGCGTGTCCCCGACGCAAGGCGCAGAAGGCTTGACTCCTCGGCACGCCGTTATCGCAGCGGCTAGGCCCCTATCGAAGGCAGCTGTGACACCTCTATGCAGCGGATAGCGTGACATGACTTAGATCGAGAAAAGCGCAGGGGCAATGCATGTGTGGCACAGACGAAAGAGCAAGAACTTCGGCTGTGGTATGGTGGCTGTGCAGAGCCACCATACGAAGAGCCAGGCGAATTGACGCTTCTGGCTCGGACACCACGGTGTCCAAGCTGGCCGAGAGCCAGGAGCTTTCTTCTATTTTTCAATCTCGCGCTTGATCCATGCGGCTCTTGTTGTTTTGCCAAAGCCGAACGAACGCGCCTTCCTATTCGCCCCGGTGGCTCAAAGTCATCGGGACGCAGCGGATGTTATGCAGCGACTGTGGAATGACCATGTGAGATAAGAGTAATGGTTTTTTTTTCGCTCTAGCTTTAAACACAGACAGCGCAAAAGCCAGAGTACTTCTACAAGAATGATACATGTCACACCGTTGATGTTTGTAAGTGCATGAGTGATGCAATCTGTGTTCTTTTTAGGGAGATATGCCTTGATGCCTCCTCAAATGCGAAATTCAACCATCGGTGTCTCTCCTCCCGCAATGTCAAGAACGAGTGTTGCAAGATATTGTTGAATAACGCATCCTAAGTTTGACGTCACCATTGATGCCACGGCGGCATCAAAAGTAGCTGAAATTTCTCACATTGTCATGCCGTCTATATGACGTACGTGATAAGACATAATGGGTGTCATTAGACTGATTACATAGCTTCGTGGCTTTCACAAAGTTGTCTGATCACGGAGCCAGTGCAAAGCCAGATGAACTGACTCCAATCTTGGAGGTCATGCTCGGAGGCAGTTTTACGTTAAATGAAGAAGAAGAATAACACAACTTTATTTTAAGGGAAGGGGCACAAATTGTATTCAGAGCATGGATGGAGGTTGGGGCCCCAAGTCCAGGGCTCCGCTAGCTTACGCCGCTCGCCTAACGTGACTCACAAGTGCTAATTGCACCACAGGGTCCGAGCTGGCAAGTTGCGCCTCCCACTGCTTTGAACTTCCTACAATACTGTTTTTTTAAAAAAAGAGTTCACATTCTCTTGTTCTCTGTCATACTCCAAAGATATGTGAAATAAAGTTCACGAACCGTCGCACCACGGGCAAGCGTCACGGTGCAACGTACGGTATATGTTGCTGAGCCCCGATACATTGAAAAGACTCCCGTCTGCACCTTGCGGAGATCCGTAGAGTCTTCCCCCTCAAAAGTTTTCGAGAGGGGGCAGGGCCAGTCGACAGATCTGCCCCCTCTATATGATACCTAAAGGTAGCATATACAGTAACTCGGTATACATCGATGAAGGAAGACGGCAGCTTTCACCTGCGAGTTCCCTTAAAGGTCCCCTCACCAGGTGACATAATGAATAATTCATCAGTCACTGGAAGTTGTTGCCCATTATAAAGAGCATTGTCTCGGCTGCTAACAGCTTTATCGGCAGTCTGGCACAACTTTAGCCGACCGGGGGTTAGGTATAACCCACGTGGAGACTTCGAGACCTTGCACGCGAACGCTGAGTGCCTGCTGGAAGGCCCTGCCTTTCAGCAGGCACAGGTCGTCTTCTGTTAATTTTATCGTGTATATCTGTGCGCTTCTACCTAGGGTAATTAGCTGGCGCTGCTCGCCGCGAATACGTCTAGGGACGATCATTTTTGTATTGGCAGCTGGTGTCACGTAGCACATAATATATTTAACGCGATAGCGTTACAGAGCTTGTTTCACAGACATTCCGGTGTCGGTGTCATTGGTGGTGGGTGAACTTAAAGGCACAACTCTTCAACTTGATCCATAGGCAGCAGGCTACCCGCAACGCAGCAGGCAGAAGGCAGCAGGCTACCCGCAACGAGTGGTTATAAGCGTCGCAGAATCGCTACATAGGGACCTATTGAAACAAAATAGGCAGCGTATTAACACTTCCCTGCAGCAGCGTTAAACGGCTGTTGTCCCCTATATCCATAGTGTGGCACACAATCTTAAAAAGATTGGTAATAAGGTGGGCGTCTGAGTGGTTATGTCTGTTCCTGAAAAACTGTCCAGTATATGTCGCCAAACTTGTCCTGTTTCAAAAGAAAAGAAAGGTTGCCAAATTAAGCATCGCAATAAATATGTTGAGTGTACACGGTCCGTTGTTTACAGAGTGCCCTTGTCATGTGGTCTTGTTTATGTGGGAAAAACCGAAAGATGCATTAATGAAAGGCTAAAAGAGCACCACAATAAAGTGCAGAAGGGTACTGATGGTCACTTGGCGATCCACTGTAAGGAGTGCGGTTGTGTGCCTCATTTCGATAACACGTGCGTGCTGAATCGGGACAGAGATTTGTTAACCCGTTTGATAGTAGAAGTGGCTGAAATGACACGCGATGATATTGATTGTGTTAGTGCACCCTCTTTCTCGCTCACGCGGAAAGAACTATGTTGTTTGGATGGGGTGATAGACAATAACGGATAGTAATGTACTGGACTGGCACGTGTGCTTTTTGTTGTCTACCATTTTTATTTTCTTTATTCATTTTGTTATTGTTTTTCTCTTTTCATCCCCTTTATAAACCCTGACGTTTGTAATAAACGTTTAGTTGAAGTTAAGCGCTTGTGTTGTGTGTTCTTTGTAATAGTGGCTGCGCTTCCTAGCAAGATGAACTTAAAGGACCTGCTTTGTTGATTGATTTATTTGTGTGGTTTAACGTCCCAAAATCACCATTTGATTATGAGAGACGCCGTAGTGGAGGACTCCGGAAATTTTGACCGCCTGGGGTTCTTTAACGTGCACCCAAATCTGAGTACACGGGCCTACATCATTTCCGCCTCCATCAGAAATGGACCTGCTTAGTGCCTGCTGGAAGGCTCTAGGCTGGTCGTCGGGGCTGCGCAAGGCAGCGGCCCATCGCTGTGGAAGGGTTCCGGAGTAAACACCTGCCGAGTTTTTGATACCGTTGCCAGAGCTTGTGGGTTAATGTGGCAACGTCATTACGCCGGACCTTCCATATATATGTAGGATGTGCATTCGGGTAGTCTGCTACACAGTGAGAGTTTAGGGTACGTGCACATCTGCAGTTCGCCTGCGTCCTGTCCAGCTTATCGCTGGGCGGACGGAAAGTTCGGCGGACCAGGTAGACTGCCAAAATAATATTTCCAACTGTTTCATTAGAAGCTGGGAAAGCCAGTGTTCTGAAGCGCCGCGAAACCATGCATGATGTGAAGTGGCATGCTTGAAGCCCTTGCTGTGTGTTTTTCCCGTGTAGTCTTCGCAAGCCAAACCCCTCTCCTGCTCTTTTCGGCACTCGAGCGGGAGAATCGTATGGCTCAGGGCCAAACCTCATAAGCGCGAAAATGCACGCGACAGCGACGAGCGACGCTATGAGCGACGAAATAGGGCGTTCGCGCGATCGCTCGGTTCTCCAGATCTGGAAATCGTCGCTCATCGCCCGGAAGTGCTGGGCTCAAGCAGCCAATAGCGAAATACCGGAAAAGACAAAGACTACATAGGTGCTTGTGACCCTGCCCGAGTCACGTATGCGCAACAAGAAATAACGCAATGTTTATTATGCATGTGCATATAAAAAGTGCTGCAAGGCAATAATAAACACTTTCCGTTTCATTACACAACAATATATCTTATTTTTAAATTGCATGCCGCTCGCTACGCGGTTTTCTTGGTGCGAGTAGACGGCCTCATGCCAGCAACAGTGGAATTCTTTCGCCGAAGCCGTCGCGTGAATGAGGTTTGCCTGCGCTAGCGACTGATTGCGCGAAGCCGATCTACGTCGCGTCGCTTGTCGCTGTCGTGTGCATTTTCGCGCTTATGAGGTTTGGCCTTCATTCGCATGGACGCGCCATGTTCAAACAAGGTATACTGTGCCCGAACCAGCCTCCACCCCCGACACGCGAGCGGTGCTGTGGCGTGAAGCTTATTGAGGCGGCGTTCCCAGCGTCACGCATCATCTATATAAAAGTTAAGCAGACTGTGTCTTCGCCGATCACTTGCCTTTCAATCTGAACATGCGAAGTGCGACATTTGTATGGACGCAAGACTTGTGGTACTATCAGCCAGGGCGGCATGCTTGAACATTTAGACAAACGTGGGAAGATAGATGACCCTGACGGGTGCTGGAACGCGGTAGAAAACGTAGTTTCATTGCAAGAGGTTGCCTCTTCACGATGCGCAAAGCGCCTGAATATGAACGAATGCGAAGCGGAGGCAGAATGGGCTCGCTGCTATTCGCAGTAAAAATTTAAAAAAAAAGCGCACATGTTTCGTCTGTGTGCTTTATCATTGCTCTCAAGCTTTAGTCAATTATTCGAGCAACAAATTGAAAAAAAAAACTGCGCATGTGCCAAATAATCATCGAGGTGTTACGGCTACGGTTGGCGACTTCAGATAAGATACATCTACACAGAGGACGGACCTGCATCCCGTCCTGTACGTCTCCTCTTCGTATTGGGGTGCGCGTCCACGAGGAGGCCAACACTCTTAGAAAAAAGGTGGTAGTACTTGCTAACTTTGGGGTAGTAACGGTTTGTCACATATGTTACAACCCTGGTAGTAAGCGCAGTTAGTAACGGCGAGGGTGGTAACAGTTGCCACCTCTGCTGTTACTATCAGCATTTAGTAACTGTTACTACCCTAGCAAGTACCACCCATGGGTAGTATCTTTGAAAGGTTTCAAGAAAAAAAGTAGCAACTGATACTACCCCGTTCATTTATCTTGGCATAGTTTTTCTTCATTGCTAATGTTGGTCAACTAATGTCTTATTACTAGATAGTTTCGGGTAATCTTGCGTGGTGTGCAATGAACGCGAAGAATACATAGACCTAAGAAGTTCACTATACTTTTCCGCTACAGTATGAAGTACACATGGGGTATATATAGCCCCTACTTTGCAGATGCATGTCTGGCACAGGGAAGCACTTGTCTTTCTGGATAAATTATAGCAAATGTCAATCTGGAGCACTATATCATACTACTTGACTACGGTTGTTTGGAGACGTGGCAAAAGACTTTTATGCAGTCTTACTTTTAAAGAAATATATGTCATATCTATTTATTATAAAAAGGCCACAAAAAGGCAATATATACATTGGCCAAACCAAGGTACCGTACTTCTTAACATAGTCTCAGTGCATTTGAATGCTTCACAGAGCTAGTATATCAGCGGTTAAAAGGTAATAATTGTTCTTGGGGTTCGATGTGCCAAAACAACGATAATATTTGGAAAAACGCCGCAGCATATTAATTGTGACCGTCCTCCGGGTTAATTGTGACCGTCTTGTTATTTTGATCCCCTGGTCTTGTTAATTTTCTGTAATTAAGTTTGTTGTAATTGTCTATTACAACGCGTGTAGCACTTGCTTATGGTTCGTTAACTTGTACTTCGTTTCGACAGTATCAGAATGACGTTTACATATCTCGATGGTGTAATTTAAAACAATTTTTCTCGATTTATGGATATCTCCCACGTCATTTTTCCTTTAATGATGATACGTCGAGACGATTCCTCTCAGAAATTATCAGAATCGCAATCACACACTGCTTTGGAATAAATAGTCAGCAGCCGGGTAGCGAAAAGGTAGTAACAGAGCAAGAAAGGTAGTAACGAATGCAGTTACTACCTCTTTTATTCCAGTTACTAACTGTTTACTAACATAGGTAGTAAACAGGTCGCAAAAAGTTAGTAGCGGCTGCAGATAATAACTGTTTACTAACGAAGGTAGTAAACAGGTTGCAAAAGGGTAGTAATGGTTCGATAAAGGTAGTAAGCGCTGCAGTTACTACCTCTGTGCTTGCAGTTGCTACCTTTTTACCAACTTTTTTCTAAGAGTGAAGCAGCGTTAAACTTCAAATTTGATCTATTTACGCGGCGCGTAGGTTTGGAAAATTTTGCAGACGTGGTCATGAACGCCATGTGTGTGCACTGCGCTCGTCAGGTCAATATGGTCAAACCTGCCCTTCATGTGAATGCATAAGCGACTTCGTGAGTTTTCTTATAGGTACCCCGCCACGGTGGTCTAGTGGCTAAGGTACTCGGCTGCTGACCCGCAGGTCGCGGGTTCAAATACCGGCTGCGGCGGCTGCATTTTCGATGGAGGCGGAAATGTTGTAGGCCCGTGTGCTCAGATTTGGGTGCACGTTAAAGAACCCCAGATGGACAAAATTTCCGGAGCCCTCCACTACGGCGTCTCTCAAAATCAAATGGTGGTTTTAAGACGTTAAACCGCACAAATCAATGGAGCTTTCTTATAGGCACCCGACAGTGAACCAAAGGGCGCGACGAAGCTCTTTGGGCCGCCTCAGCATTGTTGGTACCGACCACCAGGGATACTAAGAGAATGGAACGCTCACTGAACACAGTGACACGCTGAAGTGTCAGTGCCCTGTTTGGCACGTTTTAAAAGAACGCTTCCTGGGCGCCTAATCAGCCGTGGCCACCTTGCTCACAACTAAAAAAGAAAATGATATGCACGTGCACGTTCGGTTTTGCTGCGTCTACTCGCTAGGCTGTGTGTTTTGGCGCTACAATCAGATCTCGTGAACTGCATTTCTGGCCGCCTATACTAGTGCTTTGTATTTTGGTCTGTTCTTATTTCTAGTCCATCGTACCTCGTCGACCAAGCATCCACTTTCTCTCTGAATTTGCAGATCGTTGTGAAACCTACTCGAGGCCTCGACCTCTTCAAGATGACGGTTCTAAGGCTCGTGCCGGGGTCGCCGGCCCACCGACAGTACTTCGAGACGCTGTACACGCACTACGGTGCCGGCGTAACAGACGGCGTCACCTTCGAAGATATGCTTGGGTTCGAGGCCGAGGTCTTGGAACCGCTTCTGCAGTTGTACAGAGTGGCGCCCCGAGCGTACGTGTTCGAAAGAAGCCCCTACGACACATCCGGAACGTGGGAACGGTGGACGACTACCATCGCGAGGCACTACGACCTCACCGGAAGCGAAGAGGTGCGGGGACATGTTTACACTGAGAGGCACACTGCACCTTTAAGAGGAATATTGATACTTACAACCTGCAGTGAGCACTTGTCACAAAAAAAATGTATGGACCAACTCCCCGATGGGAACCCCGATAGACCCCTTGCAAAAACGACGGCAACACTGGGCGGTGGCGTCCATGGTAAAGGAAGAAACAACCACGAAAAGCGCGCGTCCGCTGGGCTACGTTCTTTTCTATTGCGCCTTCGTTATGCAAGCGGCGTTCCATGCGACTGTTTTCCCCACGACCGGGTGAGAAAGTGATATGTTTTGCCTTCTGCCTCTAAATGCAGACAGGCTAGTTGAGTTTTACCAAATCAAGTCAACGACAGAGCGTTCCTGCGACCGCAGCTACAACTTCAGCGTATAATTGCGTGGGACGCCGCTGCCATAACAAAGGCGGAATATAAAAGAATGGAGCCCGGTGGATGCACGCTTTTGTGGTAGTTTCTTCCTTAACCATGGACGCCGCCGCCCAGTGTTGCTGTCGTTTTTACAAAGGTTCTATTGAATGCGAGGGCGCAGCGGTGCGCATGGCGTTCACCCGGCTGAAACGGGCGTCGACACGGGTGCTAGGAGAACGGTTTGAAGCGAAACACGGTGTAGCGTTTAAGGCGAAACCTTATAAACGCGAAAATGCACGCGACAGCGACGAGCGATGCTGTGAGCGACGAAACAGGGCGTTCGCGCGACTTGTCGCGTGGTAGTTTTCGCGCGATCGCTCGGTTCACCAGTAGGGAGCCTACACGAACGGCCGTTCATGTATACTCCCTATTCACCAGATTTAGAAACCGCCGCCAATCGCCGGGAAGGGCTGTGCTCAAAGCACCGGAATAGAATGTACATGAATGACGTACTGCCGGCTCTCTTCATGTGCCGCAAAATCGCCACCTCCTCTCACTCACCTCTCCGCCCGAGTCTCGCGTACACAACTAAGAAATAATGTAATGTTCATGCACGTGCACATAAAAAAGTGCTGCAAGGCATTCATAGACACTTTCCGTTCCATTACGCAACAATATGTGTTATTTTTTAATTGCATACCGCTCACTACGCGGTTTTCTTGGTACGAGTAGATGGCCTCATGCAAGCAACGGTGGAGTTCGCTCTCCGAAGCCGTCCCGTGAATAAGGTTTGCCTGCGCTAGCGACTGTTCGCGCGAAGGCAATCTACGTCGCGTCGCTCGTCGCTGACGCATGCATTTTCGCGTTTATGAGGTTTGGCCTTTACTTGGTACGCGTTTTTTTTCAAAACGCAAGAACACGGGAGGCGGGTTGGGTTTTGTGTACGTTTCATCGCAGATATATCAACCGAAAGGGTATTTTTATTCGACGTTCGCTCGAGCTTTGAAAGAGGTGGAGAGGGTGAAGCGAGATAGAAGAGTGTTGCGGGTGGAGGAGCCGGCAGCTACCTGCATCTTCGGGTGCTGCGGCGAGCGTGCTGCGGGGGAGAGAGAGAGTGATGTCACGGCGCACCTGCGAGGGGAGCGTGACGGTAACACGCAGCTGTGGCGGGACCTATACTTGGTACCGCTACAACCTCTGCGGTAAGGGGAACGCGTTGCGGCACGTTCGTACGGACGCACGTACGTGCGGCGTTACACACGTGAGTCAAAGAGCATCTTCTCATCTAGTATTCAATAGCTATGTAGCAAGCGAAAGTAGGAACTGTCAAATTAGAAACTTTACTACCGTTAGAGCGATTATATAGTTATGCTTATCACCTACCCGGAAGTAGTGATACGTTTGTAGCTTTACTATTCAGATATGCTGCAATTAAAATGTTATCCCGCATAATGTATGCATTAGATTACCTTGCACACCACAATGACACCCTCCGATATCATCGTGTGCACATCGAACACGCATGCATATAGGCGAGCACAGCCCGATGGATTAACGAATACAACTTATTTGAAACACTATAAGCAAACGTAGCTGTGCTCCTAGATGTCCGGTAGCCCCTTGGCTGACCTCCCTATAGGGAGGTCCAGTCCACTAGTTGCAGCACACAATGTCGTAGCTGCTACGCGACACGAGCAACTGAAAACAATATACTTTATAACCCTTCACCGGCGTAGCATACGTTGTGTATTTGAGCTAACGATGAACGCAGACTTTGATATGATGCTACGGACACTTATTTTCATGATTCGCTACACTTGAACATTCGTGTAGACGCTCAGCCGTTCACCTTTCAAGATTTTATTGCGATATTTCTTTCGGCAGCTTTCGCGTAGTGTAGCCTACTGCTCATTTTATCCCGGAGTTGATTGACAGTTTGTTTCTGTGCGTGTATCTTACACGAAATAGTGTAGCCTAGCTGTGACAGTGGAAGAGATAGGAAGAAACAAAGAGAGAGAGAGAGAGAGAGAGAGAAATCACAACATAGCCTTTTATAGTATTGCGCGAGAATGCTAATTAAAACCGAGCATGAGAAGGACTGACGTGATAGTGAGGAAGAAGGAAGTGAGTGGCACAGCGTATCATTGCATAGTGAAGTGTGGCATGGGAGGGGCTTAGGTAAGCTAGGGTGAAAAGGAGGGAATGAAAAGGATGCCACCGGGTTCCCTGTTTTCTCGGGATTTGCACCAGCTGTGCGAAGCTCACCAATTTTTAGGAGCGATGTACCTTAACTCCGCACAATGTCCCTCCGTCCATAAACCACCGCCCGCTGTCTACAACGAACGTAGAAACCGGAACATCTGTGAAGAACAAAAAATTATCAAAAGGCTGTTAACGGGAACATACAAAATAAAACACCACAAGTACATTGACATTTACACCCATCACTCAAATCACATGACAGAACACAAATTTAACAAGATCAAAATAAAAGGCGGTTAACCAGAACAACACAAAAGGTCATAGTACATAATCTGATGCATGCTGCTTCGCACCATCATCAGCATTTATTTCATGAATATGCATGGGCGTTTTTAACATAACCAAGGCCTACGGCACGGCTTTATGTTCTTCCATAGTAGACTAGCTCTTACTCTAAATTGTTAAGAACTTTTTCTAAACACACATTACTGCAAAAGCTTCAGCCAGAGAGGCTTTATCTAACAGTTCACGGGCCTAGTGCTATAAGCACTAGGCCAACGGGACAGACTAGTGCTCTCCCATAGTACAGTACCAAGTACTATAAATCGTTAACCAGTTATTCTAAATACATTATGCGGATTGCCCAACAGTCAACTCACCTAAAGGCACCAAAGACCCTTCTTTCGTGTGCTACACATTCAGATCACGATCTCGACGAGCCACCGGGAGTATTTCCTGGTGGCGCTGCAGCTGATCGCGCAGAAGGAGACCGCCGTAGAGCTCGTCATCGGCTGGCTGTGTGTCCAGTTCACCTCGTGGTTCGCCAACCGACAGCTGATCGCAAACTACCACGGCTACGGCGAGGATGTCGCGGCGCAACACCAGCGCGCGTGCCTGTCCTTCACCTTAGCGACCATGGGAGTGGCCCTGTTCGTGCCGTTCGTGGCGAGCGTATACACAGAACCGGTGCGCGCCGACGCTTCACGCATCGCCAGGGCCGTGCGTCGCACCGTGTACCAGAGCCTCGACAGGGCGACCTACCCTTGGTTTGAGATGGACGTAGTCTTCAGCATCATGAACATTGCCAGTGCGCATGACCTCGAGGCCAGGTTAGAAAGATCTCGCATAACCCCTCTGTATTGCAGTAACCGTCATCTTCGACATCTTAGTGGATGCATTGATAAGCGCGAGGGGGGTTCTTCTTCACGAGGGGGGGGGGGGGGGGGTTGAGGTATAGATGGTTCGTCGCAGTTCCCCCTTTCTAGCATGTCAATGTATGGAGCTGTCTCTGCACCCCCCCCCCCCCGTGCGCACGCCTGTGGATGTACTGATCCTAAAAGGAACAAGGTTTGACCGTGTTCATTGGTGCTCACTTAAGAATAATACACAACGCAGAACCTTACACAGAACAAGACAATGATGGGGCATGCACAAGGAGCGGTCATTATCAAAGGGACTACAATTGCGGTGTGGGTTTTGCGTGGTACTTCGTCATTTTTTTCTGCAGCCTGTAATGCTCCTCCCTTCTTTTTTATTTTTGCAGTTCTAGACACTGTGCGTACGTACCAGCACTATCTACAATGGAGGTGTGTTGTAAGGACTATTATGGTTCTGCGTTCGGGTCTGCGCTATGCGGTCTGCTTAAGGAGTGGATTTATTCCCGCCTCCCCAACCTCCCGCAAGAAACATTCTGCGCCTAACATGCAATTGCAGTGCCCGCAGTATCGATTACACTAAAACCTACATGTGCACCTCACCTGATTTCGTGTTACCTCAGAAATTGGCACAAACTGGGACCATGATATGGAGTTCATGATGTCATCTCACGCAATCACCTGCAACGACGTCGTCGTGTCAGTGCCTTCAGAATTGGAGGCGTTGCAAACCATTCGCACCTCACCTCGTCTTGCACTGCTCATATGATACGCTCAACTTTCACAAAGCGGTGATGTGGCGGGATATGACGTCATAACATGACGTGATGTCATGTGAACTATGAAATTTGCGTTTTCCGTAATGTCATGATCACCGTAATGGATGGCGTCAACAAGAGGTGATGATATTTAGTATCCCTCGTGTTTACAACGATGAACAGTTTTATTTTTGTTGAGGCATTGAAGGCTCTCGAAGTCTTCAAACACTGTCGTCGTCATCATCATCATCATGTCATTTAATTCCTCTAATTCCCTTTTCAGAGTATTACATGAATGGATGAGGAGAGGTACAAAAGCATGACGAGCAGTATGTTATTTGGTCTGCAGTGTACGACCCTTTCAAGAAACTTCCGGTTCTGCAGGCACTGTAACCATCATAGTGGAAACAGCGTGCCAAGAAAATAGAAGCAATTCTGTACCATTCACACTATTTCTGAAGTTTTTTGTGCTTCGATTGCTGGCCACAGGTTCTCCCGTTTTCCGGACATGGAGGTGAGCTTCGTGAGGAACGTGCGAGACGCTGCTAACGCCCTCCGTCAGACAGACGCGGACGCCATCGGTACGCAGATTCATACGTGGATGCTGCGGGACGAACTGTACGCGTTCTTCACCTATCCTGACCGGCTAGACTACACCCTCAAGCCTTCCGTACTGGCGCCGCCTGTGTACCACGTGTCTGCGCCCGCACCGGTGCGCCTGGGCACGTTCGGCGTCGAAGTGGCCAAGGCCACCATTTTCAGCTACGTCGACCTTCGTCACGAGGGACACAGCACCGATTCCCTAGATATCTTCCGAAGCTGCTTCTACGCGGCAATGTACGAAGACGTAAGTCGAGCGAGCTCTAGGGGCGAAGCTCCTGAGAGATGTGGCTATAAGAGGGAAAAGAAAAGTGAGCCCCGTAACTGTCTGCATCAGGTTGCGACACCTCAGCAGTAGCTCACGAGGGATGGGGGTGAGGAGGGATTAAAAGGATAGGAATAAAGGTGTAGAGAGGGAGAGAGAGAGATGCGCTGGGACAGCGAGCGAGGACATATCGAGGGGATAGGAGAGATAGGAAAGATGGAAACACGGTCACAGAAGTCCAAGGACGGGGCACCACTTGCGAGTGCTCTTGTCGGCGTCAGGAGATGGCGTAGGGCAAGTCCAGTAGGTCAGAGCTGCGCTGACGTCGGAGATCGCGAGGGCACAACTGGTCGGCACGGAATCCAGCGAGGGGCTGCAAGCTCCTGAAGACCTTGCCTTGTCTTTCATAATTATCCCGGGATAGAACCGTTGCTATAGTCGAAACATATGCGAGACACAAAGAAAGGTATCACAATGGACTTCAACCTAGACATGGGCGTAAGGTAAGAGATCGCTGTTTTCGGTGAAAATAAACCATAGAGAAGGGCACTCATGAGTTGATCGCTACTAAAATGCGCCTAGATGTCTGTTATATCTGATTATTATTGTCTAACAAGGAAAACGAACCCTTAAATGTATACTTTATTCCTTCAGGGAAACCCGTAACACAAAGGGACATTTCGAGCACTCTATTCGAACAAATTGCCCGTATTAAAATGGTATGTCTCGCCATCGGTATAAGGGGTATAAGGTGGTCGGTGCTTGGATTCACTTTAGAGGCAAATCCTCCAATCCACCAATATTTGAAATTTTTCTTGAATCGCCTATGACGACAGCGAGGGAAAACAATTAAATTTTTTGATTTCTATATACACCTAATGCCACTAACTTTACATTATGTGGGGCAACGGTCGGGTAATGTGTGGTTACTCACCGATACGATACGCTCAGCTACGTCCGTTTGTCTTGATTCCCTTCGTAGGGATGCGTGAATTTTTATTTTATTTTTTTTTACTGCTGAACGACCAAATCTGGGCCGTCCAGCGCGGCGGGGTTGCCGCCCCAGTCCAGGACTTCAAGCCGCCACCTAAAGCCACCGAGACCGAATGGCCTGCCCATTGTGTTCAATGAAGTCTTTTCTCTCTCTCTCTGCCATGAAACAGGGCAGCGAGGGGCACTGGATAACACTACCGGGGATTAGGCCTAAGCACACATAAATACTCTACAAAGTAGACAAGCGAGCGTCCCCCCCCCCTCCCCCGCAGTCGTAATTCAATTCGCAGAACATCGGGTATCGTGATTCGAAGGTTGGCATCCCGCCGACGGCTGGGGTAATTTTTCCTTCAGATAAATGGTGACATCTGTAGGGCCTAGATAAAACGGGCAAGTATGGAGTATGCGCAACAGGTACCTAGGTCAGGGTACTTGTATGCTGGTGTACATTTTCCACAGTGACTTAATAACGAGTTAGTGTCTTCTTAAACCGTGTTTTTATTTTGAAAAAGTAAATTAGACGAAAATGGATGTGACTTCAATTGAGGTTACACGAAGCGCCATAGCATATGGGTACCTTCGTTGGGAACCCGGTATTTTTTAGCGTAGTCCTTAAACGCCAGTCCCTGTCGGTGGCGTAACCGATAGACATAAAAAAAGTAATTGATAGACACAGACATGAAAAAGTAGTCGCAAACATATACGCAGGATCGATTCTAACCCGTGCCGCCTGCATTGTAGTTGTTTTTGACCCCAAACCGATGCTGGGGCTTCAATCTCATTTGAAAAAGGACTCTATACAGGCGTCACATCGGGCAAGGAATGACGTCAATCTGTGGTGTATAGCGAGGAGGAAGAGTGAAATAACAACCGCTCATCACGCGATGCTGATTACGCAACGAGTGTGTGGTTTAATGTTTCCCACGTACTGCAACGTGCTTAGCTACAATTCTTCATCGTCGTCAGCCACATGCAGGATTAGCAACGGGCACGTAATACCTTACAGACGCATAGCGGGTACCTTCGGTATTCAATGTCGGTGTCGTTGGTTGTAAGCGGGAAAATATTCGAAGAAATTGAATAACAGAAATTTCTGGGTCCGAGTGGGAATCGAACCCAGGACGTCAGTGTTGGCACGCAGGAGTTTCATCAGGGCCAGATTGTTTGTTCGAAGTGGTTTCAGAATAGAACACTATATGAATGCCATTTAGTGTCATAAGTCTCCTTAACGCGTCGTGTATTGCGTGGCGCGACCGTTTCGCGCCAGGCGGCGACAGATGTGAACTGAGCAACGATTAGGTGTTTTCATGGCCCACCGATTACAAATTATCTGACATACTTAACTGTAATCGGCTTAGATTGGCGTGTTGCCCTAAGGGCGCGCATCGGATGTTTCGCTGATTCATAACGGGAATAAATGGGGCCCACGAGCCACCTAAGTGCGCTTGCAGGAGGCATTCAGTGGCACTATGAAATGACCAGTGTTACGCGCACAGTCTTTCGTTTCCTAACGGCATGGTTTAGGCATGAACCGATATTGATATGTGGGGGTTTCACGTGCCAAAACCATCGCGTGATTATGAGAGACGCCGTAGTGGAGGGCTCCAGAAATTTCGACCACTTGGGGTTCTTTAGCGTGCACCCGAATCTGAGCTAACGGGCCTACAACATTTCCGCCTCCATCGGAAAGGCAGCTGCCGCAGCCGGGATTCGATCCCGGGACCTGCGGGTCAGCGGCCGAGTACTTTAGCCACTAGACCACCGCGGCGGGGCGGCATAAACCGAAACATCGGAAGCTGATTCGCACCAGGCCAGATTATGCCATCTCTATCAAATCTTGAAGGCGAAGCTCAAACGCCCTCCCGTTTTCTTCCGATGTAAAGAGAAGCTTACGGCACGATCAGTCTCGAATGCCATTATGGGTTGCACTTTGTTTCAGCGACCGAGGGAGACCGACGCCGAATGGGAGCGAAGAGTGGGGCTCCACATGGCGTCCGGCGCCGCAATAGACGTCGCGCTGGCGGTGCTGAGAACGGAGGCGTCCTTCGACGAACAGAGGCTGCCCGAGGTGCCTCTGTCGGGACGCCAGCTGTTCTACGTGATGCTGTGCTACATGCAGTGCGGGGCGCAACACGGCGCGGCGCTGTGCAACGAGCCCCTTAAACACAAGGAAGATTTCAGCGACGCCTTTGCGTGCCCTCCGAGAAGCAAAATGCGATCGAGGCACCAATGCAAGAGCTTCGTTTAGCGTATAACGCCGTGCACCGTATATCGTGCGAAACGAGTGTAGCGTTCGCACGGTATACAGTGCGTTATGTGTATGTTTATTAAATATGTGTGTCGAATCGCCTGAACTTAAACAAGCGAAAAAAAATGCACGCATCTTCACTGAGTCAATTGTGACGAGTGGGCGAAGCACTGGGAATTGTTATTACTGTAGCGCCTACCTTTCTTGACGTCTGTGTTGTCTTTTCCTTTTTTCCATATGTGATGCGCTAATACAACTGAAAAAAAAGGAAAAGACGACACAGACGTCAATAAAGGTAGGCACTGAAAGTAGCACCTACCTTTCTTGACGACTGTGTTGTCTTTTCCCTTTTTTTATGTGTTCCGCGCTAATACAAGCTATGTCGGCTGGCTTCCGTTTGCGCGAAGCAAGCGAAGGCGAGCGAAGCCAGTGCACCTGTGTTTTCGGCTTCGACCACCTCCGCTTACAATTTGCTACAAACACTTACGCTGCCAAAGCAACTACACATGCTGATCTGCAAGGGATACACCCTACCATATGGTATGGAAGTGTGGACGTAACCCAGCAATGCCACATATCGCTGTGCTGGGTGCGAGACGGATGTTTGGGATCTGCGTATACATCTACAAATCATGAAAGCGGAGGGAGGCCCAACTGACAACTTCACGCCTTGAAGGCAGGCGACGTCTGGTGAAGAGGGCCAAGCTTTCACATCTTCACCGCCTCAGGAGTGTGCTACAGGCTATTCAATCAGCAGATCTACACTCAAACCGCAGAAGTGTCACTTTGGTTATGAAGAGCTCAAATTCCTTGGCCCTGTAGTCAACGCCAAAGGAGTCCGACCCGACCCCGAAAAATTTGCCGCTGTAGCCGCGTTTCCGCATCCTACAGACAAAAAGACTGTTCGGCGCTTTCTGGGCTTGTGCGCCTACTATCGACGATTTATTAGAGGGTTTTCGAAGATAGCGGAACCCTTGACTCGCCTTACACGCGACGACACACCGTTTGTATGGGCTACCGAGCAAGAGGCTGCTTTTGCCGAGCTACGACAGCGGATGCAGGCAGCCCCTGTTCTTGCGCATTTTGACGATGATGCTGACACAGAGGTGCACACTGACGCCAGTAACATCGGCCTCGGCGCAGTGCTCGTCCAGCATCAACACGGCAAAGAACGAGTCATAGCCTATGCCAGCCGCTCGCTGTCCCGTACCGAGGTGAATTACACGACCACAGAGAAAGAGTCTCTCGCAGTAGTGTGGGCGATCACCAAGTTTCGCCCGTACCTCTATGGTCGTCCATTTAAAGTGGTGACAGACCACCATGCCCTCTGCTGGTTGGTAAACATTCGTGATCCCTCTGTATGACTGGCCCGATGGAGCTTGCGTCTACAGGAATTTGATGTGACCATCGTATATAAATCTGGACGAAAGCATGAAGACGCTGATACGCTGTCGCGTGCACCTTTAGTCAATCAAGAAGAAGAGGACGATGACGGTTTCGTGGGCGCCCTTAGCTCATCTGACTTGAGCAGACGCCAGCGAGAAGATGAAGAGATTCGACCGCTCATCGACTATCTGGAGGGTCATAGCGCTGTTATACCTCGCCATCTATCTCGCGTCATGACGTCTTTCTGCCTTCGAGATAATGTCCTGTACAAAAAAAAAAACGCCCGTTCTACGAGCCGCGCTTACCTCCTCGTCGTTCCGAAGGACATGCGGGATGAAGTCCTCTCCGCGTGCCATGACGAGCCCACATCTGGTCATCTAGGTTACTCGCGAACGCTCGCCAGAGTAAGTGAGGCGTACTACTGGCCCGGACTTTCGGCAAGCGTGAAGCAGTACGTTAAAAGCTGTCGTGAATGCCAGCGTCGAAAGTCGCCACCAAGCAAGCCGGCTGGATTACTTCAGCCAATTGATGCACCCCACAAGCCATTTGACCAAGTCGGCATGGACATTCTCGGCCCATTTCCTTTATCGTCCGATGGCAACAAATGGGTCATTGTCGCAACTGACTATTTGACCTGCTATGCTGAGACACAGGCGATACCACGAGCCACGGCTTCTGAGGTAGCACAGTTCTTCATGTGCCACATCGTTCTGCGCCACGGTGCTCCATCTACATTGATAACCGACAGAGGAACAGAGTTCACTGCACAGCTTATTGATGAAGTTTTTCGACTGAGTAACACTATGCATCGAACGACGACTGCTTACCATCCGCAGAGCAACGGCTTAACCGAGCGACTAAATAAGACAGTCACAAACATGATCTCCATGTACATCGACGTCCAACACAAAACATGGGATCGCATTTTGCCTTATGTGACGTTCACTTATAACACCACCGTTCAAGAAACAACCCGGTTTACACCGTTTCGCCTTCTCTACGGCCGCGAAGTTCAGACGATGCTGGATGCGATGCTTCCTTGTGAAGACGCCGATCAGTTAACAACTGACGCAGAAGAATTTGCAGAGAGTGCCGAGGAAACTCGCCAGCTCGCCCGGCTACACATTGGTCAGCAGCAACAGGTCGATGCACGACGTTACAATATGCGTCACAATGACGTATCTTACAGTCCGGGAGACCAAGTTTGGGTTTGGACCCCTGTTCGACGCTGTGGCCTCTCTGAAAAGTTGCTCAGCAGGTACTTCGGTCCGTATAAAGTATTACGCCACGTGAGCGACGTAAATTACGAAGTGGTTCCGGACGCTACGTCGTCACAATGAATAGAACAAAGACAACCGACCTCTGACATAGTTCACGTGGTGCGCATGAAGCCTTATTTTGCGCGTTCCTAAAAGACCACTTTTCCTGTGTTTTTTTTTTTCATTTGTGCTCCGACAATTGCCTCATCATTGGTGGACTTATCGCGTCTAACATTTGATTATTGGTGCCCTTTTTCATTGTTTAAACTACATTGTTTTGGTTTTTTTTTTGGAGTAGCTTTACAGCATCGGGACGATGCTCTTTTTTTTTTGTTGAGGAGGAATATTGCCACCTACAGAGAAGAAAGAAGTGCGCGTGGGTCCCCGCTCTGGCAAACAAGCCCAACCGACGCGCTTGGTTAGAGCCCTGTTGCTGAGACGTCTATAAACTTTGTCGCCACCCCCTGGAGTGACATGACAATATTCACTATTTGGTGTGCGTGATCCATTAACTATTTGAAATGTTTTCTTCACTGTGTCCATGACAAACTCAGTTGCGACAATGCACGTGAGACGTCCCTTTGCGCAGTGTAGTCTCACTGTGTGACACAGCTTGTGCACGCACGGAGACCACAGCAAGCTGCTTTTGGCACCGAAGGACAGAAACTGGGGCTCAATAGCATTCGTCGATATTAAGTAATTCAATCACCTGTACGCAAACTACTCGATTCTCTTAAACAATGTTTCACATATTTTATCATGTGACTTTCACACTACCAAAAACGGGTGCACGTTAAAGAACACCAGGTGGTCGAAATTTCCGGAGCCCTCCACTATGGCGTCTCTTATAATCAAAAAGTGGTTCTGGGACGTTAAACCTTATAAATCAATCAATCAATCACAATACCAAAAACACCATCCTGGCCGTGGGAAGACATTCGGTAAACGGGAAAACGCTAAAAAATTTAGAACAAAAACAAAAGACTGCTGTTGCCGCCTCCGAATTGCAACATAAACTGCCGTGACGACATCAGTTTTGATGGCGTCTACTTTAATAAATGTAGTTCCTAACCAGTCGAAATGAAATACATTCACAATGAAACAAGCACCAAAAAGTACAAACACTCAGAAAGAACACAGGACAAGCGCTCTCTGAGTGTTGGTACTTTTTGGCGGTTGTTTCATCATGAACCTTTACCTACCTGCCTAACTCGCAGTGATCCTAATTGAAATACATTGGCCTCTGAATTAGGACCCATAGATTCAGAATACAAAGTTTCCGGAAATTCAGAGATCAAGCGTCGCCTAAAATCGAAGTACAAGCTTTGTAATCCGATCCGTTACATGCGGTCGCTATAGCGAGATGCCCGCGGGCCACATGATTCAGACCTCTTGATCTAGAACAGCATTGGTTTATTTGAGTTGAGACATGATAGTGCAGTGCGCTTATGAAAAAACCACACCCGTTTGTAGCGCAATATCACACACAAAAAAAATTCTACGAATTTTTCTGTGAGAAAGCTTAGTTCAAGTAGGTTTCGTCCTTATACAGGGATCGAACCCGGAACCAACGCCTTTGCATTTCTGAAGCGTGGAAGCTTGGGCAAGTTGGTAGAACATAACTGAATGCAGGAACAGCGCAATCTAGAAGTAGTTACTTCGTAACTACGGAAGCGAACAGAAAACAGCGCTTACTTTCAACAAAGATTTAATGTCGGAGTGGTGTACATATTATATATATGGGCGAAAATTAGAAAATTGGGCATGCGTAGAAGGGTGCAGGAACAACCACTGCGATAAAATGTCAGCAAGAACTCTTGTCTCTTGTTGAATGGGCTGAAAACAAATGCATATGTAACTTAAAAAAGATCGAGATACGCAATCTCTTTTTTCAACAGCTCAACCGATGGGTAACTTGCACATTTATTGTAAAACTTGTTTATTTGATAAGCTTCAATTATCTCACGCATGGCCTACGAGTTGTGCTTGCTTAATACCTCGCAACGCTCAAAGAGAGAGCACAATAACAATGTACACAACGTAGTTCAAGGACACCTCAGAATCCACTGCCGAGACTGCGGCTGCG